TTTATTTATTGTTTTGAGACAGTGTGTTGATCTCCAGGTGGCCTCAAACTCACAGTGATTGTACCACCGCAGCTTCTCCAGTGCTGGGAGTACAGGTGTGTGCCACTAGACCCGGCTTGGTTTTTAATTCTTCTGTTGATGGTGATTGAATTCAATGCCACACCTACGAGAGGCAAGGGCCCTAGCTAAAATCTCAAACCACCATACCTGAACTATCATTTTGGAAATACAAACTGAACACTGACCTGATGAGAAAATGAACTTCTGCAAAGGCCTGTAATGCCAGCATTCTGGGAGGCTGAGTGAGGAGAATCCCAAAATTCAAATTTAGCCAAAATTAGCGTAAGTTAGTGACTCAGCAAGACTTGTGATGTAACTCAGTGCTCTAGAGAGAAGAGAGGGAGGGAGGAAAGGAGAGGAAGGAAGGGAAGGAGGAAGGGAGGGAGGGAGGCAGGGAAAGAGAGAAAGGAAGGAAAGAAACCAGCTGGATGAGGCGGTGCAAGCCTCTAGTGCCAGCCCTCAGGGGGACTGACAAGGACTGAGAGTTCAAAGCCATCCCCGCTGTTAGGGGGCCCCATCTCAGAACAAAGCAGCCAATGCAGGGCTATCAGGACACGGCATCTGTTCTTGAGCACCCCTGCCTAGAGTAGTTGGTGTTGAAAGAAATGCCAGGTTATTCTCTCTTCCATTCACTGTGATATGTTCAAATCTAGAGCCCTTTGCATACTACTCAAGAGCTCTTCCTTGGAGCAATTTCTTGAGGGCAATTTTTAACATACTAATTCAAAGAGCCTTGGGTGGTGGGAAAACCTTCAACCATAGCACCGGGGTAGCTGAGGCAGGGGTTGTTCTCAGACAGCCAGGGCTACCTAGTAAAATTGAAATTCAGGCTGAACTGCCTAGTGAGCATTTGTGTCCAAAAAAAAAAAAAAAAAAAAAATTCAAGCCCTGCTTGTTGATCTACTGCTATAAACAAGCATTTTGGGGAGCTGAAGAAGGAGCTTGCAGATGGTAGCCTAGCCTGAATAACTCTGTGAGACCTTAGTTTAAAGGCACTGGGTACAATTCTCAGGAGAAGAAAAAGATCAAGAAATTCTCCTGCTGGGCAAGGTAGCGCTGATGTTTAATCCCGGCACTCAGGAGAAGGATCAGACTTCAAGGCCAACTTTAATGACAAAGTGAGACCCAGACTCAAAAAAAAATTTAAAATAGGTATGAAATGACAGAAGACAGTGCACAAATGGATGCAAAATAAGGGGTGAAGACAAATTTGCATATTTAGAATCCAAATAAAAATGTAACCCTGTCTTGATAGATCCAGCCATAGTCCCTGTGGTAGGGTGGCTGAGGCAGGACAATCTGGAGTTGAAGGCCAGCCTG